CATTATTTAAAACATTAGATAGATTATATAAACTGTAAAATATTAATAATAATTGGATTAATATTATTATTAATAGTTTTATGATTTCTACATCATCAGTCCTTTTTTCTGTTCTGTCACCAACGTGTACAGTAATGGGAAATCCAGTCTCTTGACCGTTTTGCGTTAGCCGTTAGCTTCTACAGCCGATCCACATGGTCACGTGGTTTCTGCGCACTCCAGCTGTTCTATATAAACTCCTTGATCAGTAGTTATTACTTTATTTCATGTCATAATCATTTGTTTCAGTGGGCAAACGCTCTTGTGAAGGATGGGAAACGACTATACGAGGCAGAGAAGTTTAAAAGAGAATCTTTTGGGAAACTCTTTAGTAAGTGTTTTTAAAAATTTCAGCCTCTGGTTATATACATAATAAACTGTACCTTTTGAAATGGCATGTTTTTTACTTGTATCAATAAAAAACCTATTTACTGTATTCTTTAGGGACATCTTTCCTCCGGAATCGATTGTTTAAAGGGCTTGATTCATGGCCTCCAACTTCATTTTGTGTAAGCTTGAAACAAGAGCTTTTAAAGATTGGTGTTATTGGTTACGTGCAGTTTGCATCATTGCTGTGTCATTTTTATAGACACAAAGGCCCAGAAGGTTCGATGATGAACTTCCAGATATCTCACTTGATGACCTGCAGTACTTGAAATCATGTTGTCCTGCAGAGGTGCAGCCTTTTCTAATGTAAGTCAAGTCCTCCGTCACTAAAAAAGGTTGCATATACACTGCAAAAACAGTCCATCTAACCAAGTTTTAAAACCATATATCTAGCCAAAAAGTATTTTTGATCTCATTTTTCGACTGGTTTCCTAAACAAGAACTGATTATGTAAGAACAATAATCTTGTTTTCAGAATGTACAAGATTATTTGTCCTGTTAGCCTGAAAATTTGACTCAAATTAAGTCAAAAAATTTCTGCCAATGGAGTAAGAAAATTTTACTTTGTAAGATCCTTGAAATGAGAAAAAATTGAGTCAAATCAAGTATCGAAACAAAATCAAAAAGATTTTTTTGGCTGGATCTAAGGTTTTAAAACTTGGTTAGATGGACATTTTTTGCAGTGTAAGCTTGTTCATTACACAAAATGTTGCCAGGACAATGACTTGTTTTTGTAAAAAATAAAATGTTTTGATTTTTTTTAGTCTTATTTTGTGTTTTTCTTTTCAGGGTTCCTGCTATGTGTGATTTCGAGCCTTTACATCACCATGTCGAGTCCCTTCATCAACTGGTCCAAGCTGCACAGAGCGTGGATGAAATGTCTCAAACTATTACTGACTTACTAAGTGAACAAAGGGTAATTACTTTTTTATGTCCCTCGCTTGTAGCAAACTGCTTTGAAGTGAAAACTTGAAATAAACATTTAAAGCTATATTTAAAAACACCCTGACAGCAACCTCGTTGAGTTAACACTCTTCCCAATTTGTCTACTGCTTGCATTAGTAATGTTGCCTCAACTCGGATCATCTGCCATCTGCTTTACCTTTCCAGACATCCTGTATTCATAGATCAACAGCATGGACTCCACAGTCTGAAAGCAAGTCTGGGACCACGGCATCAATTTCCTCTAAAACACCTCCCTCGCTTAGTCTTCAGGGACCCAGCTGCCAGCCCCTACATGTACCCATCCCAGCTCCTTTAGAGGATTTATCTCCAGACAGCATTGATGCACAGACTTTTGACTTTGAAACCATAGGCCATCCAAACATGGATCCTGTCCTGCAGCAGGGATCCCTTGACTTGGACTCTCTTGCCGAAAGCCCCGAATCTGACTTCATGTCTGCCGTCAACGAGTTCGTGATTGAAGAGAACTTGACCTCGCCCAATCCCATTAGTGACCCCACCAGCCCCGAGATGATGGTTGAGTCGCTGTACTCCTCAGTCATTAATGCAATTGACAACAAGCGAATGCAAGACACCACAACACTAGCGAGAGAGAACTCAAGAGTTGCTGAGCTCCAAAAAGCTGTTGAAAAATACAAATATGCTGCAGAAAAGTCCCACTCTAACTTAAGAAGTGTAAAGGATGACCTATACTACTTAAGAGGCCTAGTAGTGAAGGAACAACAGGACTTTGGGCTAGCCCTGCTTAGCATGAGCTCAGAAGTACGCACTACTGTGGATGACATCTGCCAAACTCATGAAACTGAGCTGAAAGCGCTGCATCAGTGTGAGCTTCTTAGTGTTCGGCAGGAGCTCGAGAAACAAGTTCTTGCGCTGACGGAGGAAAACCAAGTCAACCAAAACATTGTGCGGGACGTGCAGCGCGCTATGCTGGAGCTCGAGGGGCTCATGGAGCGCAAAGAGAAGGAGCTTACTCAGCTCGAGAACGAGAAAGAGCGGTGGGCGGAAAAAGAGAGCGATCTCGCTGGTCGGATCAAAAACCTCGACCAGATTATCAGCGATCAAACGGAGGAGGCCAAGGTGCTTTCAGCTTCGAAAGACTCTCTGACCAGCCAGCTTGAAAACCTGCACTTTGAGATTGAACGCAGTCAGCAGAAGATTCGACAGGAGCTTGAAGTGGTTGCTCAGGGCCATTTAAAGGAGTTGGAGGACAAAATGAACCAGGAGCACAAGATTGAACTGGACAGCTTAAATAGGAATAACCAGGTGGCTCTGGAAAGCCTCGCTGTTGAAAATAATACAAAGTTAACTGAGGCAACCGATCAATATGCCACAGCCATTAAAGAGAAGGACGTTCAAATCAAGGACTTGGAAGCTCGATTTACTGAGCTTGCAGAGCTCCGCTGCAAACTAGAGGTAGAGTTAGCCCTCAAAGATGCAGAAACGGAAGAGGTTAAAATTTTGTTTGAGGAGGCCAAGAGTCAACATGCAGAGGCTCTAAACACCCAAATCGAGGCTGAGACCAAAGTACTTCGAGCTGAGCTGGCAGATCTGAAAAGACAGCTTCAAGCAAAAAACGAGGAGTATGAATTGGACCTGGCAGAGCTGAGAACTCTCATGAGGATCGAAAAAGACCACTGCATCTCGGAGCTGGTGGACCGACATGAAGAGGAGGCTGCCCTGTTGCACACCAAGGTCTCCACCCTGCAGCAGCAAGCCCTGGACGCCGAAAGGATCTCTGCGGAGCAGCAGCAAAACCTCAAAGAGGAATTCCATCAGCAGGTGGCTGCGCTCGGCGAAGAAAAAGAGAAGCAGTCGAGGAGGTTTCAAGACCTGGAGCAGGAGTTGAGGACTGTTATCAGCGATTTGCGGGCAGAGAATGACCTGCTCTCGAAAAAACTGGAGCAGGACAAACCTGCAGGTCAGAAAGATGAGGACAAAGAGGCAGCCTCTGATGCTGTAGCACAAGAAGCCTTTAAAGAGTTGGAGCAGCAGAAGGAGGAGAAAGAGAAGGAACTTTTAGGCAGAATCAAACAACTTGAGAAAGAGCTTCAAGAGACGCAATCTTTAAAAAGGTAAATACTTGATTAAAAATGATAACATCACAAAGATGAAACTAACAGTTAATTATTTTAGTTTTTAATCATTGTTTACTTRAACTTTAGAAATGTACATTTGTTAGTACACTGATTGTTTTTTGCTTTCAGTTTAAAGAAGAGTTTTATATGTTTGAAGATGGAGTAATAATCGATTATAACTGTTTAAAATGTGAATCGAATCATAAAAATAAATGAATCATTGTTATTGTATAAATTTAAGTGTAAATGTAATAAATTCAGTTTGATACTTGATAAGTTTTGGTCACAAAAAGGTTTGTGATGAYGTTTTTATTTATTTGGGGAGTTATATTCTTACTAAGACATTTGAAAATGTTTGTGTATAAAATGGCTACAATTCATTTTGTTGACAAAAAAAAACTGTGAACTTGAAATTGATAATCGTAACTGTGTGTTTCAGTGATGGAGGGTTGTCGCTGTCTGCTGATGGCCATGCAGATGCTGGAGCACCTCTGTCTCTGGACTCAGCATTGCAAGAGCGCCTGCAGCAAGAGAGGGCCTCCCTGCTAACTCAGTTAGATCTTCTCGAAAAGAAGAAGAACGAAGAGATGCAAAACCTTAAGACATCGCTAATCGCTGAGCAGCAGGTTTGTGTTTTGATCATAAAGACTTTCAAATGGTGGTTTGTCTGTATTAAATAATCTGGTTTTACTCCTCGCTTCTCGTGTTTTGTGTTTAATAAATATATTATCATATATTTACAAAGGGTTATCTGTACCTGTTGTGCAAAAATCAATCAATGACTGGTTCTGCACACAATATTGTTTTCCAATAGGTTGTATTTATCAGTTTGAAGTGGGAATCGGGATTTTTTTATTGTTTCATTTATAGTTTTTCTTGTGCAAGTTTTGAAATCCAAGAAACCTTTCATGGCTGCAGGCTGATATACAGTATATTCTTAGAATTTGGCAGTTAAAAGTTACTACGGTGTGTTCAAATACAAACAGTGTCTTGTCACATGTAATGCTAACCTTAATTCACTGAATTCCAACTTTATTTTTTCATTGGTTAGACTAATTTCAACACAGTTCTAACCCGAGAAAAGCTGAAGAAGGAGCAGATTATCAAAGAGCTCACAGAGAAGTTCCAGGATGTTACTCAGCAACAGGAAAAGGACAAAGGTGAGTGTTTTACTGTACATATAGTGTGGTTTGTGTAGAGTGTATTGTGTGTATTTTAAAGCCTGTTGCTCAGGTTAAACTCACTTTTTAAGCAGCAGTTAATGTAAACCTAATAACTAAATAATATTTACAAGACCTCTCATTTTCTGATGCTCAGGGCATTATTTTAAAGTGCCTGTGACATCCCATTTTTATAATAAATATGAATGTATTTTTGGAACGATAACATTGTATAAAAAAGATTTTATGCCACTAAGATGAACAGTTGTTGAGATATTATCGTGTAAAGAAACAGGAAGTGATGTCAAAGGGGAATGTCTGAATGTAAACAGAGCATTGCTAAAATGGCTAACAGCACAGACTGTAGAGAAGAATCTGATGTTTCTTTAGATTATTTTAATCACTATCATAGAGAGATGAGTCATAATTCAAATAATGTTTCAATAAACAAAAACCAGGGAGTTTTCTTTCTCAAAGAGTTCCCCTTTCATGTCACTTCCTGTTTCACTTCAGCTGAGCAAAATTCAAAAGAAAATATGCCAATTATGTGACATAACAGGTCAAATCATGTGTATTATGCCAAGTTTCTTAAATACAAACATTTCCTTTGACTTTTTGTATTTCATGGATATGCATGTCACAGGCACTTTAAGAATATAGATAAACTTTTATTACTAACTGCGTATTGACACATCATTGTCGGATGTTTACAGCTCTAATAGAGACTTTGTCCGAGGACCGGGCAAGTTTGATGCAGGAAAAGAAGCACTTGGAAGAAGAGCTGAAYCGGCTGCGCAGCACTGCTTTGGTGTCCTCCACCTTCTTCCCCTCCAACCCTTCAGTTCCGGATGCTTCAGAAGCTGGAGCAGCAGCTCGAGCTCTGCCCGTTGCTGAGGCTTGTTTTTCAGAGGGCCTGTCTGAGACTGACAGACTGGCCTCTGTGGCAGCCATTCGAGATGACGACCACGTCGATTCTGCAGTGGAAGCCAGCATGGTGGCTGTCCAGTAAGCAATCACTCTCCGATAAACATATTTAACTTTGAGATGTTATTTTGCAGAGTGTCATTTTATAATTTTTGTAATGCACATTTTAATGAATTGGCCGTCATTGTGAAACCAAAGTGTCTTGGAGAACTGGAGTACAGGAACCACATTTACTTGACCGAGGTCAAACTGAGTCAGAGGATTTTTTAATAATACAAACTTTTAAATCCAAGATTTACCATTTCTTTCTACATCTATTTAGACAGATTTTCAGTTAGAGCATCTTAAAAAAACAATTGTTATGTGCGATATGGAGCCTTTATTCAGTATGTGCAATGGTGTAAAGGTACAAAACACCTCTGGACTAAGACTTGATTTGATGTAATTTTATATAAAAATGTTTTAATTTCAAGAACTTAAAGCAGAGAACAATTGTACCAAAGAATATTTAAGTGAGAAGCTTGGACATTGACACATTTCCCCCCATTCTTTACTGCTGAATTTTGTTAGAGATACATTTTGTTTTCTCAGGATGTTAGTCTCAAAAATATCTACAGTAAAGCAAGCCTGAATAAACCAGGTTATTTCAAACTCGGTCATAGAAACAAATCTTTGCATTATTGATGGTTTTCAAGAGTAAACTAGCCAGACATGGATGGACAGAGTGACATTGGACAGTGGAAAGGAAAGCAAGCTAGAATCAGACAATGTAAGTTACTTTTTGTAGTTTTAAGAAGCCACAAACTAAAGAAGTAATAATCTTGTCCCAATTTCTTTTAGTTTATCCTCGTATGTTTTGCACATCTAATTATTACTTCTTTTCTTGGTAGTGACAATATGATGTCAGAGGAGAAACAACGAATAATCTTACTTGAGAGGGTAAATATTTGAATTGCATCTTTGTCATTATGATCACATTAAAAGCTTTGTTTTTCTATGTCAGTAACTTTAATGTATTTAATATGTGTTGCAGACTTTGCACATGAAGGAAGAAGAAAACAAGCGCCTAAGTCAAAGACTGGTCAGTTAATCATTTCCATTAAAGGATTGTTGTTCATTTTGTCCACCAGGTGGCAGTAGGAGCAAAGAATGAAAACAAAAGCTCTATAAAAAGTTTTTGGAACATGTGCTTTATGATGATAGCAATGATAAAATAGACTAAGGAATTAACTACGAATATAAATCCCCAAAATTATTTTTTGGTGTTTAAGATTTTTAAAATAATATTTAAAARCATTTGCATAATTTTAAAGTGGTTAGATTTTAATGTTAAATGTAAAAACAGAAACCACAAAGCCTGTCTTTTTTTTCATATAAACAGATCAGTATTAAGAAAAGAACTTGTGAAAGTTATTTATTATGAGTATAATACATAATAAAAAAGTACTGTCTGCCTAATTAATGTCTTTGCAGATGTCTCAGAGCATGTCGTCGGTGTCATCACGGCATTCAGACAAAATCGCCATCAGAGAGTAAGTGAATAATAAACACCTGACATTAGCATGTCCTCACCATTTGGAGTTTTAGCAATTTTGTTTTCAGCTGAAACTGACCGTCATTACATGTGGTCGAATTATACACATTATTATATCATTACCACAGCGGTGTTGTTTGCACTTTGCAGAACTTGGTGTCAGCACGCCTTTGTCTCTTTGTCCACCCCTTCTTTTGTGTTTCAGTTTCCAGGTTGGCGATTTGGTTCTAATCATCCTGGATGAAAGGCATGACAACTACGTGCTGTTCACCGTTGGTCCCACCCTCTACTTTCTCCACTCAGAGTCTCTCACTGCACTGGACCTTAAACCAGGTCAGCCATTTTCCAAACCTTTTAAAATCCACCATTGTAGCGGTCGTTTGGAATGTATTTTATAATTTACTAAATTAATAAAATGGATAAACGACATAAAGAAACAACATTTGTGTAGATTTTATAAGTTAAGCATGAGTGCATGTTAAATCATAAATATTGTGGGGCATAATGTTTAATGATGTGTAACGTTTTGTTTTTTATGTATAGCATCAGGGAGCTCAAGACGACCGTGGGTCCTTGGAAAGGTGATGGAGAAGGAATATTGCCAGGCAAAAAAGGTGCTTTGAACTTTTAAAAGTTAATTGCTGATGTATTGATTGTAAAATTACCCTCATTTATTTGATCAGCCAGTTCATTTTTTTTAAACTTCTTCCTCACAATTTTTTTTCCTTTTTCTTTTTTCTCCCACAGGCCCAGAACAGGTTCAAAGTTCCTTTAGGAACCAAGTTCTACAGAGTTAAAGCTGTTTCCTGGAACAGAAAAGTATAATACCCAAGTAATGAGCTAACGTGTATATTTGTTTTTGTTTAATTTTCAAACAGAAACTTAATTTTCCCTAACTTAACATCAAAACTCATTACTAATGGAAAGAGAAACATGTTATTTCAGTTGAAAATCATACATTTTATCACATTTTTTTGTTTTCTTTTAAACCCAGATTTGTTACTGTGGACCAAATGCTATTAATCTCTCAGGGCCTTGCCCTTTACACTGTGGCATTATGCCCTTTGACTTGTGTGTGGAACTGAATAAAATTTGGATGTTAAATATTAGTTCTCATTATCAGCATTTGTCCTCTTGTGGAAAATACTGTCATTATCAACATAAATAAATAAATAAATAAATAAAATAAAAAAAACATTTATATTAAACAATAATGGAGGAATGTTCATGGCATGCATATTGAAATATTTTTCTTTAATTTACTTACCAGATAAATGTTGTAGTTGAAAATGTAGGTAATGCTGTATGTTACTCACAATCAGTATGGCTCTCTGTCAATACTGAAATGTACATTATGACTGGCTGAAGGCAGTCAGCTTTGCAATCCTTGAAATGCACTTTGAAAACAATGCTTTTAATAATTTAAAAGGGAAGTTAATTGAGCTGTCAGAACTAAGTAAATATATCAGAACAAACTTCTTATTATCATAGCATATTGATATGTAGAAAGGAAAACATTGTGGCTGTGTTTCATTATCGGGAGACATTGTATATTACTCATTTTAAAAAAAATCACATGTAACTAAATGACTGTAATGTAAAGGATAGAGTTTTGAAACAATAAAGGATTGATCCCCAATTTTTTTTCTGTATTTGTTTTTTGTATGGTATTTAATTTGAGGGAATTTTGGTTACAGTAAATAAAAAAATGAGTGTTTATAAAATGGAGTTGGACAGATGAAACATTGATTTTGTTTCAATATTCATAATCTCAATGAAACACAGTTGTCTCGTTTGCTAGAGAGACCTGYTATACAAAAATAAAACAGTAAAATCAGTACAACCAATAAAACCATTGCAAAATAAACATATCAACAAAAGCACATCAAAATAAATTCAAACAAAAGCTGACAATAATAGTACTAAAATAGAAAAAAAGTCAAACAGCCATCAGAAAGTTTTGATTCATGAATCAAGCTTGTTTAATTAAAAAAAACTTTCTCCAGGACGTTTTTCCCC